CTAATTAAAGAAATAACCTTTGGCATTTACATCGTGTGTCTCATTGGTCGTTTTCCGTTAGATTGAACCACTCGTGGAACCTTTTGCCCGGGAACATGTTTTTGAAATACGTAATCAATCAAATATTCCGGATTCACCGTTGCAAACGATTCGGAGGCTGAGGGCTAACAAATTGTGTTATGTAGGAATACGCTTGGCGAATTCGCTCGTTGGCCCCTGGAAATTGGAGCATCCCTGGCAATTCAGATCAATTATTACTTCATTTTCGAACGCGATCTGTGCAGTTTGTGCAGCACCCGCCATTGAAATTGACATATGGTTACAGTTCCTGCGCTTGGGTGTAACAGCAGGGACGTTTACATTTATCTAAAATGATATTTTCCCTTTGCAATACTCAAATTTCGATATGACGTTTGGCTAAAATAACATTTATTAAAAAAGTCAGCTTCCTCAATAATAAATTAAGTTTATGTTTAAAAAGTATTTTTATTAAGAGGTGTGAACGTGTCATTGGTTTTTCCATAAGCGTTATGAGAATTGATTTAATTCATAAAATAGGAAACGAATCAATGCTTATATCTTATGTTGATTTACACTCATTAATAATGAATAATATTGCGACATGTTTTATCCTTTTAAATATTGTACTGGATTAACTATTAATGATGGCTTGTGGTGATCTCGCGACCATTCTCGACCCTTTGTTTGTACCTCATCATTACTCGTACCACAAGGGTCAGTTCTGTGTTATGGTAAATAAATTTGCATTTAATTACTGTTAAATACACTACTGTCGACTTGATTTTTTTTCTCTTCTATATTCAAGAAAACATTCTGCAAACTTTGAATTCTCTATAAAATCTACAAAATCATCGAGTTGCTCTTCCACATCTTCAGGTGTATTTTCCTAATTCGTCTCGGTATTCTTCTCAGAAAGCGATAATAATTTCACGGCCAAAAGATCGAAAATTAATGACATCTCTGGCAAAAAATGGTCTCTTTCAAGTGAAATGATATGTTTAAATGTTGGATGGTTTCAAAATAAGCACCCTGCCGACAAATGGCGGGTGGAGAATGCCTTGTCCTGTCACGACCTCTGGCCAGAGCCTGAATAAGGAGATTGTGTGATCAGCTTGTTAAAGTGACAAAGGGCATCACCAGAAAACTGATAGCGACCTGTCAGACTTTAATAAAAAAAAAAAAAAACAACATATAATCGCTCCTATCTACAATACCGTCAAGCGTTTGAGCGACCTTGGTCGTACACAATTTACTACAGGTATATTCATACATTGTACATACTACCGTGTTCTATTTAGTATGGAGGTATATTATTATATGCTGTATTTGACAAGAGAATTTATGTTTTTTGTTCATTAATATTGTAAAAGATGAAGATAACGAACAGTGATCTATCTTATCAATCCAGTACACAAAACGAATCGTGAACAGGCTAAAAACACGGACCCCTGGAAACACCAGAGGTGGGATCAGGTGCCTAGGGGAATAAAAGCATCCCTGTTGACCGGTCACATCCGCCGTGACAACTATGAAAAACAAACTATCTTTTCGTCACACTTTTTTTCTCTCTCTCACAAGACCACAAATTAGCGTTTTACAATCACCATAAGAGGGGGAAATGGTACAACACATATTTGTCTTCTTGACAGAAACAGAGAACTGCGATTGAATCAATTTTATTATACATTAAACACATAAGGTTAAAGTTGAAAAATATGATATTTTCACCAAACCATTGAAAATAACGTCATCAGAATACATTGGAAAGAGTCCATTTTCTCCCATTTGTTTTATTGTTCCTCCAAATCTTTGTTAAAATATACCGGCCTGTGTATTTCAAAAATATATGATTTCTTTTAACAAAAAGTATGATTGAATTAAGAATAGAAATGGCCTTGAAATGATTCGTAACAAAATTTAAGGCTATACTAATAGATAGAGGTTTATGCCAGTAGTTGTCCGCAGCTGTCTATACACTGGGCAAGTTAATAAAAACGAAATTCATCTTCAATAGCTTTAGTACGTACTTTGCAAGTTTTATTACGATGAGTGTTCTACGGCTCCAGCTTCAACAGAAAAAGGTTAGTTGAAGAGTACAGTTTTTGGGATGTTAAATTGGTTATACCACATATAGTCGAGACAACGACTTTTCAACTGTTTCTGAATAAACAATTCTCAAATCTAACTCTTAGCATTTTTTTTATGTACATAAATTATATCCATACATGTACTTTAAAATACAATTGTATGATTACAGTATTTCAAACCAGAATTTTAAATTTCGAAAGTGGTAGACGCCCTGTCTCTCATGTTATAATGTTCATAGTGGTATTTGTGTTTTACGCAGATATGTAAAATTACGAAAACGAACCTCTATGAAACCCTTAAAGTTCACAACCATAGTATAAAATGCTACACACTTAGGTATCAAAAAAAAGTAATAATCAATGTACCTGAGCAGCTTAGTTTTTGAGTATAGCTAAAACTTGTGTCAAAATTTTCAAAAGCTTCACTAAGATAAACAAATTGGTCAACTACCTGGAAATATAAAATAGTTATATAGTATACTTGAGTATATAGTTACATATGTAGATATACTTGAGTATTTCTGAATCATGTGTCCATTTTTTTTTTTTATCTTTGCAAATTTTTCGACCATTTTAAAAGGAAGTCTTTTAGTTTTCGACACATTTACTTCTTTACCCTACCACAGAATAATTATATTAAAATTGCAGCATAATATGCATTTCACTGTAAACAATACCATCTGCATAATCGATACAAATAAGTTTATATTTTTAATATTTATAAATCTGTTGGTGTGGTGACTAGCTTTATAAACCAATCCTCAAAATTATTGACGTGAGGAACAAAAAGCAAGGGAGACAGCACGTCCCATTGTAAGTATCCAACAAACTTTATTAAAGTCTGAGAAATGCTACCAATTGATTCGACACACGTTGTTGTACTATCATACAGGGACAAATTACCGTGAGTAATCTTCCTTATTTGCCTTAATATTACGCATTGCTGTTTTCGCATTGAACTTACTATAAGATGTGGGACACTATATAGCCATGACATTCTGAATTATTTGTAGGGAAGGTCTGTTCTGGTGAAAGTAAAAAGTTCAATAAATGTCATATAAACCTAGACAATAGGGGTTCACAACTTTTGGAGGAGTTGGTAGATGTACATGCTCAGAAGTCTCATGTAAAAAAAAATCACATTAAAAAAAAACATTCATTATCATTGCTTGGCAAAACCTGCAAAGATGGGCCTGCATCTTTTCCAGTTGAGCGAGCAAATTCTTTGATATATGTAACTCTTAAAGTGTTGTATGCAAGTATGCGTTACATTAAACAGCGCAAAAACCTGACATTTGACACAGACAAATATGGCGTGGATCAAGATCTGGCCGGATGTTAATCGGCCTTGATGTCCTTTTTCTCAGAATTTTATGTTTCTTTACACTTCAGTGAGAATGTCTTGTGACAGAGTGTCAAAAAACATGGAAACACACTACTTGATCAGACAAAATAAATTGTCGATTAAACAAATACTGTTTGTTTTATATTCGAATAAACTATGAAGTACGGGAGCTAATCGGTGCACGTCTGAATTAACGAATATTTTTATTGCGTGCAATGTGCAAAGAAATATTTCACATTTCCAGTCAGGAACGAAACATACGCATGTTAATTCCATGTCCATCACGTATCAATTTTTGCAAAACAACATTGTTTATGACTAGACATTACACGGTCCTGAGATTCGGTCAAGAAAAGTAAATCGAACACACTCTATTTGAAATTACTTATTAAACTCAAATTACATATACAAGAAATGGACTTCTTAAGCGTATGCTGCATTGTTATAAAATTAAACATGTACTAGTCTTTATTTTCCTTACTTTTAAAGCTATTATTTCCTAAAATTTATTTCTTTATAAAAGTTGATATTTGTTATTTGTTCGTAAATAATGTTACAGCTGTTGGATTAGTTTTACCGATTGAACCCATCCGAGACTATTTGATCTTTACTTAAATATTAAATAAACCTAATTTTGAAATTCTATTACCAGATAGCACATGTGGGAAAAAGAACCATTCATTTGGTTTCATTTTTATTCTGGAAGTTTCCGATTATCTGAAAGGTTGAAACAGTACATAAGGTCAGGTGAGGGCGCACTAACACTTAAACATCACATACAGGAATATAATAAAATAAACTGTGATTTAATGATCAATACACACAGATGATTGAACCTGATCGGCATTTGTCAACAATCGGGTGGAGAGAATCAATATAGAACCCAACTGTTTGGAATAAAACTTTCCACAGTTGGTATACTCAAAGTGTAATAAAAACTCGAAAGATATTGAATGTAGCCTATTCAGTTTGTAATCAGAGGCTGTTAATAGCGATAACCCACACTGGCAGGCTAATGCACAAAAAGGCTCCCTGTCATTGTCCCCCCTGACAAACCTGTCTTAGTGAAGAGAAACCTTTCCTGGTGATCAATTGCCCCCATGTTGACATGAACCAGATCAAATAAAGCCTCAGCGACAAAGGTAACGTAACACCTTTTCAAAATTGATAATGCTTTTTTCCCCTTGCATTAGATGCGTTTAAATTTTACGTCATGCACTGGGTAATAATTAAGTCCCTTTGATCTTCCAACGCGTTACTCAATCGACTACGGTCGTGAGCAGGTTAGGAAACTTTAAAATTGTTCAATAACCCTTTAAATCCTCATAGAAAAAACACTGAATACATCTGTTTGAATTGAGTAGAGTAATCGGACAGGACGTTAAATTTAGTATTAAGAGAAAAAAAAAACGTACATTTAATCAGGGTTTTTTGTCAATGAGAATTTAGAACAACCAGCCAAAACTGTACACGAATTAATTCTTTTCATCTATCATAGGTTCGTAAATAAACACTTTCCTTCAGACTTCAAAAGTCTGATATAAGCATACATTTTAAATAAAGCTTTATTTATATATGACAGTAAGTATAATTAGTTTTATAATGAGTGTAAGTGTTGAAACGGTCATGAAGGTTTTGAAGATATCATCATTGCCGTAACCCAGACGGCTTGAAGAGGATGCTTGGGTTTTCTACATCATTGCCGGTGATGCACCATTCAACTTCAAACGTCCCCCGCTCTTGATGTTGTAAATTGGATCTGCGGATGCCTCAAAAACATAAGTAAGCGATAGCCCAATTTTCCTTCGGAAGCACAACCTTCCTGATACCAACTGCCTGTTTTATGAACTGTTTGTTCGTCTGGAGGTCGTAGACTATCTGTGCCATCTAGTTGGTGGTTTCGTACCATTTCTTGTTATATCATCTGTCTGAGATAATGTTTGCATACGTTTTAATAAAGTCGGAAGGTCAAGGTGAAGGAGAAGATGAATAATTCTAAAATTAAAACCCAGAACGTTGCCCAATTTTCAAAACTTCTAAACAATGAGTTTAGTTTTTTGGAAATAATATCAGAATTTATTTTAATTCTGATACGAGGGTTCAGGGTGGTAAATCGATAAAAGTAATATGGAAACTGTGTAGTCAAAAACGACTGCTTTTACCTATTTACATGTACATTTAAAATGAGTGAAATTCACATTTATTTGATTTAGTATTTAAAAATATTAACTTCCATACTTATCAAGTACGTTATTTTTAAGCCTGTATCATACCTTAGGCTTATTACATAACACGACCTACATAAGCAGACGACACTTCTCAGATGTGGTGTGTAGATCATGACGGGGTTTCCTTGGGTTCTGAACTAAATTTGTAAAGAGGGATTCGGTGGGTATATAGCGCACATAGATACTACTTTTACTTCTTATCTTATACATGTGTTTTCGAAGTATTGCTGCAATACAAGTAACATTTAATTTGATGATCCCTTGACACAAAAAATCGTTTCTTGCACATTGGAAAAATTCAATTAAGGTTTTGTGCACCCTGCCGGTATCCAAGATATCACGCTTAACAAATATTTAGTGTCAGCCGAACCCGGCTATTTTACTTATTCAATATTAATTTGATTGTGACCTCGCCTGTTTACCCAACTCCTCTATTGCAGTATACTATTACACCCGATTACGCGGTTTTTAAAGAACAAATATGCTTTCGGTGCGCAGTTGGGCTGTTGCCGTGCATTTGGGTAAACAGAGGCTTCGACCTTCTTAAATTGCAATGGGGTGCAATTAAGGAAACATTTTACAATTAACTTCCAGCCTTAAGTACTTACTAAAACAATACACACTTTGGATTCACAATACCAGTATTGTAAGCATTTTCCCCCTTAAATCGACCTAAAAAAGCTTTAAATTCTAGATACTCTTTAAAAATTTGCTCGATAATATCATAAGGCATAATACTACTTTGAAGTAGGGATATCAAGAGGGGCATGGGTGAATCTGCATTCCGATCAGAGAACAAGAGGGGATTAGATAAATATTTCTTTTATCAATAAGAGAGGATTTGATGAATAAAGTTGTTAACGTAGCTTTTACCCAGGATTTGATGTCATTTAGCGAAATTACTCTGAAACTCTTCATATACGATAAGTCGGACTGCATGAAATCTTCAGAGTGACAATTGTCAATTTTTTCAGAGTATGATTAAAAAAAAAAAATACAATCTGTAGTCAACCTTTATTATAGCAAGTTTTTGTTATTTGTTTTTTGATCATCTTCCCATTTCATTACTGTCATAAAAAATCAATTAACTGAAAATAGTACAAATATAAGAAAAGTTTACGCTGTTTTAAAGGTACTTTTAATTAAGCTTGATATAAAATATTTAACAGGTACAAAATCATATGAGATGTAGAGAACGACCTGAATTTTTCTCTGTTCGAGTAAGCAAGGAATGAGAGATGTGACCACTTCTAGAGGGAATGCTGGCAAAGACCCGGATGTTAGCGCAAAGTCAAGATCTTGCACCAAGGTCTTGACCCTGCTCATTTGCATGGTATGTAGACATTCGTATTCCAGTACGATAGCAATACTATTATTACGTAATCCCCAGACTTCTACGAGATTTATTTCAGTTTATAACCATATTTTATGACTTGTATATTTGATTTCTTGTCCAGATTTGAAAAAAGCCATGCAATATGGGTATTTGTTTTGATGTTTTATAGGGTCTAATAAGATTGTTTTTATCGCTTTCGCTGAAATAAATGACCAGTTAATTTATGTAGTGATACATGTCAAAGTATTTTCCTTTAGCAATATCAAATGTTTAATCTGTAAGGTCCTTACGATAAAATAGATCCCAAATTAATGAAATTGTGAAGAATATAAACGAAAGAAAGTTAACGGAAATCTGATCACGAAAAATAAGCCATATGTCACGACTTATAATTAATGAGTACAACACAATTAATCTGCGTACGTAATCAAGCTTTTTTTCCATAAGGTTATTTGCATGTTAGAAAGGTAGAGGCATAAAATTTGTAAACAGGTGCACATTAAAATGTGCATTTATTTAAATTTTCAATTTTTTATTTTGCAAATGTCTCAATACGGCATACAATTCGTCAACAGCTTGCTTTGTTTAGAATGATGTTTCCAAGAAATATTTGTTTTCAAGTTGTTTGTAGGAAATTGAAGAAAAGTTCAATCAAAAAGACCTTAACCGTTTGTTATTTTACATTTTTATTATTTTTATTTATTTATTTTTTATTATTATCATTTTTATTTATTAATTTTTTTTGGATAGTCCCTAATTCTTTTCATGGCGCTTTCCTGGGAAAAAATAATGAAAAAAACTTCTTAAACATTACCACCTGTACTTTGTACTCAATTCCTTTCATATAATTCAAGAATTTTATCCTCACTTAGTCCTATCATAAGGGTTTATTTTAAGCCATCTCATTTTTATTTAAATTCTAAATACACTAACACATATTATCTAACAATGGTTATATTTTCACTACAGGTTTACAAGAAATATCGGCAACATATTTTATGTGTACAGATTTGTCATCTGTAATACTTAATTGATTTTGAAGACGATAAATCACCTCATAAAATATCCAAAAATTGATACTCAATCATTGTAACCCATATTGATTTGCATATTAAATCTTGATGGATCGCTTACATACAGAAAGAATGCAGCGGCATATTTTTATTTTAATTTTCTATTCTTCAGACTGAATAAATTGTCAGTATTACTGCAGTTTTTTTTTTATTTTATCTATTAATTTATTTTTGGCCTTCGACTTTAGATAGTAACTTTTTAAATTTCTAAGATATAAAATAATTGTGTATTGAATTATGAATTTCAATACCGAAATTAACTTTGGGCTCTAAAATTATAAAAAATATATTTATTCTATAAAGAATAGAATTTTATTTTTTCTTCTTTTCTCTAACCCCCCCCCCCCTTTTAAAAAAACAAATACAGAGCCAACCAATTTTTAAAAGGATCTAAACCGAACTTCTAATAATTTTTCATTATTATTATTTTTTTAATGACACAGCAGTTAACATTAGAATTGTGGAATACAACACATATATATCATATTTTTATTTTTTCCTCGATTTTTATTTTTTTTTCATTTACAATAGATTGTCTTTTCGTGCTGAAAAAATCATAACGTTCAAAAAGAAAATTCTAAATTTCAACCCAGACCTTGTGTAGCATTAAACTTAATCATGTAGAGACGCGAAGGCACGCGTATATATATATATATATATATATATATATATATATATATATATATATATATATATATATATATATATATATTCGGAAATGATTGTTTTTATACACGTCCGAAGTTTTAAAGTAATTATAATTGTTTTCTAAATAAATCCATTGGGTTCTATTTCCTTCGACTGTTATCATTTTTGTTTTTAATTGTCTGTTTTTACTTTGAATAATAAGTATAAACCATACAAAACTTAATACGACCATAATTAAACGTGAAATCATTTTCAACTTCAATCGGTACACTATAGTGTTTCATCATTAATATATTGAGAAAAACTATATAAAGAGCACTTATATATATTCTAAATCTCTAGTTCTTCTTAAGAAAGGGATACCCTAAACTTATACTTCAAATATAGCAATTAAATAGGTATAAAAATATGTTACGTTTATTTTAAACATTAACATATGTCAAACAATCTATACTGATTTTTGAAAGTTTTGACGCATCAAAAATCACCATTTAGATAGATTTGTTTGGTTATCCAAATGAAGTTAAATAATAATAGCCAATGGTTTACTTATTTATGCTGGAATTAAATTAAAGAATTCTTGACATTTAAATTATAATAATTTAAACTTGTTTTTCATTTTCATAAAATTTTGTACAAAAAGGAAAATATGTAGTCTGATGTAAAAATGGACGAAAATTACCGACTAAAGTAAACGTACACAGGAACAAGTTACAAATACTAATTTAAAGTAATTATCTTATTTTTGTTTTATGAAAGTGTTCAATGAATATACATTTATTCCTGTATATCTAAATAGAATAAATTTGAGTTTGCAAATTTGCAAAAAAATAAATAAAATAATAATAATGATTTATTCTAGAAAATATGAGTATGAAATATTTGGGAAACAGTCAACTTTTAACTGCTTCTATTGGTTGACAATGGTCATCCATCAGAAAGGGTATCGGGGAGGTGTGAAAAAATGGTTTCTGAAATTGATCTCCGGCAATTACCAATATTAACGGAAAAGTATCCAGTCACTAATTGCAATCTATCAAATTAGGAAATCGACTTCATATCAACTGACATTAAATTTTTAATCCTTTAATGCATAATTTTCAAAAAACATCGTGCAAATACCCAATTTTCCTCTCATCTTCTATAGTGGTTCTTTGTATGGGACAATGACGTCATTTGGTACCTCTTTGTAAAAGGATAATTTCTAAAATTGAAGGTACACTATTGGTTACATAATCTCTCAATAGATAATTAAGTTGTTTTCTTAAGGGTCAATGGGATTTCCCGTTTGTCATTTAACAATCTCATCTGGCTTTTAGAATGTGAAAAAAAGCAATCTTCATAACATATGCTAGAAATCGTGTTTCTTTGTTGTGTATTGAAAGGAGCGACCTAAGTTTCTTTGTATCCTTTTTCCCCATTTTTCTCCGGGATTATCGTACCTCAATCACAAGCCCTGGTATTCTGTTCTCTTAAAGATCTTCTCCTGGGTGTGTTTTAGGGTTTTCCAACTATAGATATATTCTAATAGTAAAGTGGTCCGTCTGAACCTTGTAGTTTTATCGGTTGATCGGGGCTATAGGTTTCTACGAGTTCAGCACGAACAATGAGTTCCCGTGATCAGGGGTGTAAATTTAGGATAACTAGGACTCAAAGTGTTTGATTTATGGCCTATTTTATTGTCATAGGAATGCACCGATGAGCCCATTCTTAAAGACCAAAAAGGGTCTTGCCTTTATGTAAGCCTCAAGAAATGTGCATACTTCAGTAAGTTTACTGAATAAAGAGTGATTATTGGCACATTGCATAAAGAGCAAGGGTTGAGTTGATTGTGAGACCTCAGCTACAATTAGCCTGCAGACTACCGCGAGATATAATTGGCTATGATTTGGCCTTCTTGACTTGCACTTCGGGGAGATGACCTTAAGCTTTATATCAGAGAGCGAAAAATTGTCCTAAACTTTACATTTAAAATTTGGTGATTGACGTAGATTTTACATCTGATAGAGCTGTAGTTTATAACAGTTTCAAAGTCTTACAATAAGTGATTGAACTGATGAAATTTAATGATTGTCTGTATTTTATTTCAGAATATACATGTACATGCATGTATGAAGCATTTACAGAACTTCTGCAGCAATATTATGAACATACTATTTGCACTTTTCATATTTTTTGTTGCTTGTACAAAATTGTATATGCAAAAGAATTCAAATAAAAGAAATATTTCAGAAATTAACGCACTGCGCCCTTTGACATTAAAAAATCAAATCTATCACCTATTTGCATCTACAAGCTTTTTTTGTATGAAAGTTAGAGAGCTATATTATCATATTCTTTTGTAAACCACTACTTTGAATTCTGTTGAGAAACTGTCTACGCTACAGCTTCATATATCCTAAATTCTAATGGAATCAATTCGATGATTAATGCAATCTGAAACCAGTTTGGTTTTAAAATCATTTTTCTGAAATTGACACTTTACAATAAATATAATTAGAAAATTAAGAAGTTTATAAATAATATTATAATCGATTCTCAAACAAAAGGCCTTTCTAAAGAGGTTCCAGTTTTGACAAGTTAATTGTGATTTAGAAAGTTTTGTTAGTCATGGGTAGGGTCCTAGTGATACATTTTCTGTGTATATTTACAAATAATTATGAAATTCAATACAAATGAAAAGATCTCTCCAGATTCTAGCATTACATAGGTATTTTGTTACCTGCAATTTTCCTATCTGTTGATATTTGAGGTAATTTAATACCGAAAAATAGACCAAGTACATAACATATTGCATAAAATAACTGTAAAATTGACAACTTACATCGATACTTTTTAAACACTCAAATAACTGATTGATGCATCAAAGAACGCTTAAAGGCGTCGTATTGTATGTATGCATTTTAAATAATTATCTTTTAGAACTGAATTGATATGGTGCAAAAACCAAGCTTCTCTCGTCCGTAAATTCACTCGAAATCAGGACAAATCCATCTTGTGTTGTCTTTCCCTATTTTGTCATTGTTTCTTCAAGATTATTTTGAAATTAAAAATTCTGTAGATTTTAAGTGGTACCAAGAAACAGAAATTGCTTCAATATGCATAATACTTTAGCTACATACACATGTACATGCACCTAATGTGAAAGCTAGTGAGTGATTTAATTTAAAATTCTAAAGAAAAATGATATTTTTTTTTTAATTATTAAAATATCTCACAACATAATAAAAGAGATAACGTTTAGAGTCCAAGCACTTAGGACTGAGAAGACAGAAACTCTTAAATGCTCTCTTTAAAAAAAAACGAATGAAATGAATAAAATTGTTTTGGAAGTACTACTTTCATTTTTATTACTCATTCAATGCTATAAAACAAGAACTTCTTCAGTGATAAAAACAAGTACATGTACTCATAAGTTAAAATTTACTTTAAAAAACACAGACACGTCGAAAAATTTCATAAATGTTAAACTAAAAAAAGAAATGGGATGAAGCCACAAATCTAAAATACGAGCATTTAATTTTCATAACATTTAAAAACGTCTGCGGTTCATGTAAATAATTCTTGTCTGTCAACATTTATATAATAATCTTTTGTTTTTTACTAACAGTGTACCTGTGTATATAATCTTCACTTTTATTAAGAAAAAAAATACTTTTTTTTATCTGAGGTGTGTCATATTACTAAAACAGTGTTCGATTTGAATAACTCGAATTCTCTCAGTACAACTTTAAAATTGCATAATATATTTTTAGTTCAAAGGCAAAGTGTTGAAATTAAACGGATATAATCATATGAACTAATCCATGCGGTATTTTTTAAGTGCCAGATCTAAATTTGTTATCTTATTAAGGACAGACGATACGTTCCTCAATAATATATAATTTTTTCTAAGAATTTGTCATTGAAGTATTGCTACTTTAACATGTTTACTTGCAGAAAATTGAGGTACCTTACCAGGCATTTGTGCAAGATACCAGAGGATGCTGTTTCCTATAAAATCCTTTTGGAAAAAGCTTAATTTGCCAATATCACATTTTTTTAGTGTTTCAATTTTTTAAAGACAATTTGAAACAAGTTTAGAAATCAGAAGGTAATTAAAATTTGGAATATTTTCCATACAATACAAAGATATACAAAACAGATATTTGAGGAACGTATCGTCTGACCTTAAATCATGGAATAAAATAGCTGATCTTTAAAAAAAATGATACTATTCTTATTTTCAAAAGCAAAGATATATATATATATATATATATATATATATATATATATATATATATATATATATATATATATATATATATATATATATATATATATATATAAAAGATACAAGTTCTATAAACAATTTCAAAATGTATTTGTGTGAAAATTTGTTTTGAAGCATGTCAAAAATGCCTTATAAAAGTTTTTTTTTATAATTAATTTTTAGCACCCATTTTACTATATTTACGTATTTTGAATGAAAAATATTTAAATAATGATTTCAGAGAGAGAGAGAGAGATTGATTGTGAAAATATATTTGTTTGTTTTCCCTCTCTTTCTAAGGATTTGGCTTGGATTTTATGATTTTTAAAGCACAGAACGAACAGCTGTAGGAATAATAACATTATATTTTATTCTCGAGTTTAAGGAAAGAAACAAAATGTAACACAATGTTTTAACTGAGCAGCTAAAAAAACTGTAACAATTAGAGAACTCAGTACTAAATGATTTTTTTTTTTACCAACAATGAATTAATTAAAAAAGCATACAGTATTTTCTCAGATAAAAATGAGGTATATTTTTATTCCTGGTTTATTAGATGATATTACTGAAAACAGACCGTTCGGTGTTCTCTGACATGTTATGCAATCAGCATGCATAATACCCAGACATTTAAATTCTCCAATTCAAAAACTGCGTCGATTTGATTTTTAATTTCTTTTGATTTCGTATATTTTACGAGCTTTTCTCACACAACCCGTAAACATAAACTCTTTTGTGTGATCCCATTACGCTGGCGAACAGCTAAATACTCGTTACGGCAATGCCTTGACATTTAGTCTGGTGTGACATACGGGCATTAAGGAAGCAAAAGGTGGAGCAACTTATCTGACACATCACGAATTAACCTTTATACGTACCATTGCGCATTGAAAATATAGTCCCTTTGATAAATTACACCGTATCTCCCGACCAAAAGGATAAGTATAATGTTTATTAGGTCGACATCTTATTCAACAAACATAAGTAACGAAGTAAATTATATATTCCAACAGTTTCTAATGAAGTCTTCTCAGACGAAAGAAAATGTCTTGACAAAGAAACGCGGTTACTTAATTAATGAAACTCTTAACACCTGTGGTGCCTGCAATCCTTTGGGTGCCCCATGCTTGAAATAAACTTAACTGCAAACGGTGCATGTTTGTGCATCGGAGATCAAATCGAGTTGGCGGGATAACATATCTGTTCTTTATTTGCTCACTCAATGCAATAAATTGTAGGTTTTGTAGAGTGTTGTGCAGTGATATAATTTTCTTATCACATTTGAAGGCTAAAATACGATGTATGGTATCAGAACTGTTCAGCATTTCAACCCGCCCAGCAGTCACTCTGCCCAATGTGACCCAACACGACCCGGAACGCTGCATTATACAATACACAACTTTTAAATACCACTGTGTGCATTACAAAAAGGCAAAGCAAGTATAATTATATACTATTATTGGAGGTATAAAAGAATCTTTCTCATCAACCAACATCGTACCCTATAGATAGAGGAAATTCGAAAGATACATCTTGTCTGAATTCCGTTGCACTGATTTGCCTTTCGTTTTTTTTTTTAACTTAAATTTTATTTAAATCATTTTCTTTTTTGAATCCAAAGTATTAATTTAAATATATATTACTGTCATAACGGTTTGTCCGATTTGGACATTGCATGTTTCGTCCTTGTACACCCAGCAATGTTCTAAGATGTTAACCTTGACCACAAAATTCAAAACACTACTGTAATCACAACTTTGTTCAGACAATTGTAAATCTCAGTTTTATCAAAGTTTACAATGTCACTTTACATGTTAACTTGTATTTGCAGAGTACTTTCTAATGAAAATAATTATAATAAAAAATTTTATTTGAGTATCTTAGTTCATTTTTAAATTAAAAAGACATCACCGAAAATAATTTGAACAAAGTCATAACCCTCATTCTTCAATTAGTATTTTAGTCCTCTTTGATTTATGCTCTTGAAAGCGTGTGCAAGGTTATCCGTATGGTTTTGATATCCTGCAGGGTTTGACTACAATCGGGTTATTTTAGCATTGTTGAGCTAGAGTTTATACAGATTTATGTAACACAAGGCCGACCATTTGAACTATGCTTAAAGTACTTGTTACTCCGACATGAAATTGTGTCGTGTTTACAAAGTTTCATGCATCTCTAAAACAGATTAGCAGATCATCTAAACTTTGTTATCAACCTCCGCGGTTGAAAGAAACTTGACTTTATCTGAAATTAAAATCAATATTTGTTGATCTTTAAATAGTATTTATTGCAACGGATGTACTATGTTTCGCCTAGCTAACATAACTTGTAGGAATCTGAATTTATCGTTATAGTTTAGCACTCTTAAAGTGTAGATAGATGAGTGCAGGTATGCACATTACTTTTTTTTCAAAGAACGATAGTGAATATTGTACATGTAATTAAATAAATAAGCGATAGAAGTTTTATCTTCTATATATATATATATATATATATATATATATATATATATATATATATATATATATATATATATATTCACTTTATTTCAGGAGGCGGTTCCAAAATTTCTAGTATGAGATTGAGTCAGACAAGAAAAGAACGGAGTTAACTCCCTTTCTCTCCCTTTGGATATGACTCTTGAACTGCGAAACAGATATGAGGAAGAATATGACAATGTGAACATCTTTTATTTCGTAGAGATGTGTTTTTAAGTGATTCACACTTACATGGTACCAGATTCCGTGAAAATGTTAAATAAAATACTTGTACCTAACCTTAAAGTGCCCATGTCATGGAAACACATGAAATTAGCTTATATCTGACTATTCAGCCTCATTTATCTATAAAAAAAAATTGAGTGTTTTATTTTTTGGGATGGAAATAGAATAAAAAACAAATATGATAACTTGCAAAGAGTAAGACAAACATATTTTAAAATCTGTTTTCCCTCGGTGTAGTTAAGGAATCCAGACATATCACATTACCCACATTTAAAATGTTTAGAATTCAGAATGAAAAGACTTAATATACTCCTGTAGGGCTCTTATACATGTCTAGATGAGAGGTGCGGACAAAATAAAATCCGGTTTAAAAGGAGAAGAAACGTAATATGTGTGCAGCATCTTCCTTTATATTTTGTGTAATGCTACCATCTTCATTATGACAGAGTCCTCACTAACCGCAGTTTATTTTAAGAGCTAATTTTGACATGCAGTTGCACCCTTTCGATGCCCCAGCCACGTCTGACTGCGTGCTCTTTGTTCGATTGCATAAAATATGACCTGTCGGTTAAATAAGTGCGACTCGAATAACATAATCATTATGTCAGTATGACATAAACCTCTAACAGGTAGCAATTTCAGTGTTACCCTGATCTCTTTAAAACCAGAGCATACAATGAATACGAATAATAAGAGGGGGAAAAAGAAATCTAGCGATGTAAATTTTAATGTAAGAAGTCAAAAGGCATGTCAAGCCAGTTGTGAAACGTAAGGGGGTAAAAATCTGCTTTACAAATCGAGATATCTTGACACTAAGATAAAAATGTGCACATGTTCAAGGCCAACATCGTTGCATAGGTCGTTCTGGTTAACCGGAACGTGCAGTTTGTCCCGCTTGTTGGTTGATGGTAAAAGGGAGAGAACCCTTTGAAAATTACTTGGGAAAATGAGAAAAAAAAATATTTTGGAGATATGTGCAAGTTATTTTCCCAGCGTGCAGTTTAACAGATGACAAGAACGAAGAAAGATCTTTGTTGAAGCTGAGTAAAATAATAAACTGAAAACATGGACTTATCTGAATTTCTATAAATTACCATAAATGTTTTGAGTTAAACTTTTTATATTCTTCATAAGGGATAGACTTTCAGATTGTCATTCATCCTTTTTAATTTGTAGGAACGTCTAGTAAGTTGTACATGTGTATTTTAGATTATTTTAAATGTTGAATTGGAAAAAAAGAATAATAGAGGGTGCTTGATATCATTTATCAATTGAAACTTTACAAAACAAGTTTCCTGAAGACAATCTTCACTGAAAGAGTGTTAAGCAACTAAGCTTAAAGGGTCTATGTTTAAATATCATTAAAATTTCTTTAAAATGGAAATCTTAGCTTGATATAATCCACGTCATTTTTAACATGCTATAAAGACAAAGTCCCAGCAGGAGAAAAAAATTATAGCCAATAAAAGGGATATGCCGTTTACGGGATATAAATGTTTTAAATTATTTTCACAAAAACGTGTAGTTATTTTGACAGTAATATAGGATTCCCAGCTGGTGTGGTAGTCAGAGAATTATTTATAAAAAGGGACACTGGAAGCCCGAAGGCAGCATTATTTTGTTACACCTAATTTCTAACGTAATTTCATTTTGATACAGAAAAATTATTCGTCAGTGTCAGAGCAGGCCCTGGCAGGTTTAATCTTTTGTCACCGGCCAGGTAAAAAGTTACAAAATGAAAGCGATTTACAATTAACCAATGCAAAGAACCATGCATCTGGGTGTCAACCTGTGAACTTGGTGTACAATATACCGAGGGTTCTTCTTAATGTGGTCGTTCACGCACCAGACCCATTTATTCAGTAGAAGTTGTTCTAAAGAGAGTTGAAACCCTCAGGTAGCTTAAGGTGTGAAAGCAAGGTTGTATACCAATTTCTGATTTTACGTAACAGAGTCAAAGTTCATTGACAAGTATTATCGCCAGCAAAAAATGATTAATTTTTCTCTCAAATTTAGGGGCTTATTTCTGGAAATACGTTTAATTACTCATCATTATCTGCACGCACACCCAGGATAAAGAATGATCAGAAACAAAGACGATGTTAAAGATTTTGTTTACTTCAAACTTCAGTGGTATATCACATTGTAATTTAGTGTATTTAACATCACGTTCTTTTTTTTTTTTTTTTTTATTTTTTATCCTTTTACCGGAAATGGCGATAATTTGTCACCTTTAAGCATTTTTTTGTGTTGTGCACACATTCTGTTGCATAAAATAAGTAAAAAAAATATTTTCAAGTTGTAATGAAATATAACATTTAACAACATATAATTATTACAATATAAACTGTGTACTTATCCCATATGAATGTGCGAATGCATGTCATTACATATAACTTAAACAAGTTGTCATTGCAAAACCCCATTATGTAGAACAATTACGTCGTGTTATTACCTGAATGCAATATGCCAACACATACTTATACACTATAGCAATGTTTAGTATTTATAGTAAAATGAAAGATTTAAATTTTAATGTTGAGACTCAGATTAATGTGTTTGATACTTATGTTAAAAGTGTGTTATGCTATGGAGCTGAAATATGGGGGTTTCATAAAGGTCAAGATGTTGAAAGAGTGCATATTAATTTTTGTAAAAGAATACTTGGTGTAAAAGAATACTTGGTGTAAAAAAAATACTTGCAATAGTGCTGTTTATTATGAGTTAGGTAGAATACCACTAGATATATATAGAAAGCGCAGGATATTACAATATTGGTTAAAATTAAGAAAAAGTAATAATTGTATATTGAGTGCATGTTATCAAGATATGGTGGAAAATAAAGACCCCTGGATTATGAGTATAAAAAATGAACTGTACACTCTAGGTTTAGGTGACTTGTACCATAGTAATCAAAAAGATAGTATTATATTAGAAATAACATACAATAGAATGTGTGATGTTTTTAAACAAAAAGCTATATCTGATATATGTAGATCACCAAAATGCATGTTATATAAGCATTTAGTTGACTATTTTTGTTTGCAAGGTTATTTAAAGAAACCTATACATGTAAAATACAGAAAAGCAATTTCATGTTTTAGACTCTCAGCACATAACTTAAAGATAGAAACGGGAAGGTATGATAATTTAATAAGGAGTAATAGGAAATGTGATTTATGTAATTTAAATGATATTGAAGATGAATTTCATTTTTTATTCATTTGTCCAGTTTTCAATGATCTAATAGACAAATTCATCAAACATTACTACTCCTGAAGACCAAGTGTCTTTAAACTAATATAACTATTTTGTAGTACAAATACTAAAGATGTAAATCAGTTAGGGAAATATATATATATCATGCTAATAAATTACGATTAGAATCAGTGGCGGATTTAAGGGGGGGGGGGCGCACCCGGCGCACCCCCCCCCCCTAAAATTGTCAAAGTTAGCATAAATCATAGTTTCGTCCTGAAAATGTAAAAATTGTCTACTCGGTAGACCTCATTTTTACCCTACAAAATCTCTAGAACCTAGGACCCAGACCCCTTGCCTACTTTTGGCGCCCCCTCTAATTTCAATT